AATAGACTTGATATCCTCTAAATATCTGGAAAATACCGCGTCAATGGTGGTCCCATATTTTGTTGTGGATTCTTGTGGATCATTATTCATTTTCAAATTCAATTTTTCCGAAATTGTGTCTAAAAGAGATAGAATCAGTTATGAGCAACTAGCAGCTAGTCTACACGCATACAAACACCGTGCCGAAGTCTGCCGAACTGAAACGACGTTAGACGACGCACGGCTTTCAACGCCGCACCGCTCAGCCGGTCGGAGTGGGGGGTGTTAGGTCTTTTTTCGTTACGGATTACGGAATGTCTTGATTCGGTCGCTGCGCTTAAAGCCCGCGATAAAAGCTATGTAATAGCTTAAAATATGGATTTATTAGCGGATTTGATTTCTGGGTATAAATTTTATACGACAATGGGCCATGTTCACATGTGAGATATGCCTTTTTATAAATTATATTGTAATAGTTAGTCGCTATACAAGTTATTCTAAATAGTCAGTTCGTTAAAAAAGCCAAAAGTTTTTAAATTAAGCCCAATTGAAATTTAAAATTTGAAATTATACGTCATCGGGAATAGACCAATCATCTTGTGTCGAAGTTTTTTTTGTTATACAAAACCAAGCCAACGAACAAACCAACACACAGAATGTCGAAGTGAACGCACATCTAAGTGACATTAAAATTGACACCACCTAACATCAGTAACATCTAACCTTAGTTTTTTGTTTTGGTTTAATTTTATTATTAATATGAATCAGCTGGATTTATAAAAGTTGAATCAAGTGTTTTACCCATTGTAAACGAAAATATGATTACCGAGATGATTACTGCATTTTTTAACAATACTCAGTTTACAAAAGTCACAAAGGTAAGACTTTGTTTTAATAGTGGGTAGTTACAGTTTATATGGAGCAAGTAAAACATATTTATCTCAGGTTTTATTTTTAGATCTGCCAAGCAAGAATATGGGGATAATTTCTTTTTCCGTAAGAGAGAAGTAGACAAATTACACCTAAACATAAAGTACGGCAAAAACCTTCTGATGTGGTTGCATTGTAATTAACAAAAATGAAATTTTTAGTGCACAATATGCTTAGGATATGCTGCATGTCAAGGTTTGTAATATTTATTATGCTTTTTTGTTTTTATATTACATATAATAAACAGTGTATAAGGCCCTTTATTCCTATAAATATTTTTTTTCTAATTTTGACATATAGACATTTTTTGTAATCGCAGCAAGTGTTAAAATAATCTAGAAACAGATTTTGTTAGTGAACCTAGTAATAATTATGATACCAAAGAATGCTGCAGAGCACCTATGAAATTTTGAGTTAAAAAATATGCCATATTTTTAGGCTATTTTTATACCCTTTTCAAAAATTTTATGCTCCTCGTTTTTTGCAAAACTTAAAATGCTCTATAGCTTCGAACAAAGTCAGCAAAGCACCTCTATTTTATAAAGTTTTTTCTGTAAAAACAGCAACACCATATATTTATGCACTTGAAATATTATATTTTTAAAAATACATGGTGCTTGCTAACCTTCGAAAGAAGCCAGCAGAGCAATTCGGTTTTTTAAAGCTTTTTTCTAAAAACCACACCCCATTTTTAGAATATTTTTAGACTCTTGAAATATTGTAAAACTTTACTAAAAAAATTGCTATTTTTAAATAATACAGGGTGCTTTGTTGGAACAAAGTCAGCAGGACACTTCAGTTTTTTAATTTTTTTTTTATATATAAAAACAACTACTTATGACACATGTTTAGGCTGTTTTAAAATCCTAAAAATGTGGTAAGTACATTTGTTTTCAGAAAAAAACTTTGAAGTCTGCAAGGAATTGCGAATTTTTTTTAAAATGCCAAATTTCGAATATTTTATAATATTGTAGGAGCCAAAAAACGTGGCGTGGTTTAAAAAAAAAACTGGGGTGCTCTGCTGGATTCGTTTGAAGCTAACAAAGCATCCCGTAATTTTTTATTTTATAATACTCAATAGCCTAAAATGAGACATAGCTGTTTAAACAAATTGTATTTTTAAAAATAGCAGTTTTTTTCGAAAAGCTCTATAATATTTCAAAAATGTGAAAATGTGGTGAGATTGCTTTTTTTTAAGTTTTGAAAATCCGAGGTTCTTTACTGGATTCGTTCAGAGCTAGTAAAGCTCTGCTTGTCTTGTTACATAAAATAAAGGCATTTTGTAGCTGGTTATATAGTTATTTTGTAACTGCATATCTAACCCTTTTATTTTTTTCAGTTGGTTGTAAATATGTGGCTTCATAGAAGAAGTGAGGAACCATCTGTAACATCTATTCAGTGTTATTGGAAAGGCTCTAATTTATCAAAATGCGTAAATATTGATGTACACTTGGCTAGATTGTTAAAGAAACCTCTTCATCCACTACAGGAAAATAAATCAGTACTTTTATATTCTTAGGATTTGTATATATATTTTTTATTTGTAAATAAATTGTTTTTTACTTCATTTTTCTCATTTTTTATTAAAAGATTAATAAATAAAATTTTCACAGATTTTTATATTTTTGTTTGTAAACAATAATTGAAGAGTTTTTATTAAAAATCACCAATGTTAATAATAATAATTTAAGTCAATATTATTCTTTCTCCTTTTTTAAAGCTACTATCAATAAAGGTATTATTACTTGCTTGACCTATGATCAATTTTTAAATTTTGTGATATATTTGGTTCAACAGAAAAAAAATTATAACCCTTTGACATTGGTTGTTTTTACTTAGATTTTCATAAAAAGTAAACGGAACTGCAAACATGTTTTACTATCGTAATAACGAATAGCAACATTAAATTTTTTTTTTTACATTTATCACTGTTGTCATTTTCATAAAGGATTGATAAGAAGGCACACTTTCTGGTTTTTTGAAAAAGGTAGCAAGAATTGTGATATTTTTAAATTTATCACCAGTGATACCACATGTAGTTACCCGATTTATTGGAATATATAGACTTTGCTACCACATTCAACTGAACTTGGTTGTTTTTAATATTTATCACTGTGACATAGGCGTTTTTGTCAAAATGTTTCATTTTAAACTGCTGTAAATAGGTGCCTTTGTTTTGGTAGTTTTAGTCCCAAAAAAATCTATGCATATACAAGTACTCATTCCTCTTTGATTTGTTCGAAAAGTTAAAATTTTATAAAAAATTACATTGGCTGTTTAAAAACTCATTATAATCCCTGAAATGTGATAATTAGGTAAATTAAATTAAAAAAACAAACAAAAAAAAATTATTAAATTAATATTTACTCTTACAAAATAGGTTCTTGTAAGTTAACAAGCAATTATGCAGATATTACTAAGTAAATGTACTTGCTTAAAATTCATACACGAATGTGGTTTTAACTTGTTAAATTAACTAACCCTTCTTATAACTCTTTCCACATGTATTCTTAGAGATGCTATTCTTTTACTTAATTGTACATCTTCTGGAGAACTTTTTTCATTCTGTGATACACTAGGTGTGGCTTTACTAAAGTGCATCCCATGTTTTCAAGTAGCTAAATATTCTGAAACCCCTATCTGCCATTATATGGGATCCAGGAACCAGTTTGTTTAAATACCCACATTTTTCTATTATTTCTTTATCACTAGTTCTTCCACAAAATGATGAATAAATTCGGTATCTTCAAAACTTTCAGGAGATTCTGCATTTTCTTTTAGAAGGGTTTTTAGGTTATACACCTAAGAATTTATAGTAGCCTCATTTTCAATTTCCTGAAGGGGACAATTAGCAGAAATTGCTGCTACATCTTGATAATCCGGTGTATTTTTATTAAAAAGTTTACGAGAAACATCGCTAGTAGAAGGTTGATTTTCTTCTTTCCAAATTTCTAGGAACACTAATAAATATTTTTGAAGATGAATGTGAATCATTATCACATTCTGGAACAAAACACTTTTTCGTAGTCATAATATTTATTTATAAAAAGTACAAAATAAACACTCAAATTCCAAATAAATTATTTATCGAGACACTATGACAGATGACATACAGTGCTGCCGTTTTGCCATTTCATGAATTATTAAGTGACTTTTAAAACAATAAAACTTTAAATATAGTAAAAGTTTAAACAGAAACAATACTTTCAAAAAACATTTGATATTATATATTTAAAAGATATTTGTTTAACGATGTTTTAGAAGTCTAAAAGTTAGAAGGAGTACACAAACGAACGTACATCACTTCTCGTAAACCTTCTAGCTGGCAACGTTGTGCGCTAGCTCCTATTGGTCTATTCCCGGTGACGTCATAAATTTTAAAAAAACTCCGGCAAATGAATAGATAAAAAAAAAAATAAAAAAAATGTAGTTTTATTTTTAACTCTACTATTCATAAAAAAAATTTCAAAATTTTTGAACATGCCCCATTCGTATATTTTTATAAAAATATAAGAACTGACATTTATATAGATTAGCGGTTCTCAGACTTTTGTATTTCGGGCCCTTTTTAACTGGCCAGAAATATCATGAAGATATAGTCAGCTTACCTTTTTTTTTATTCAAGCCTGCTGCCTAACACATTTACTTCATAAATTTATTTAATTCAGATAGTTACTTATACCGTTTTTTATTTTGTTTCAGTAAAATTTTTCTTCGAACTGTTCGGAGTGAGAGTAATGCATCATGGAAGACCAATTAACCTCGTCAGGAACGTAAGTCACTTTATCTTTTTTGTTTAATTTGTTTTTTAATTTTTTATACACTAATAGAATATTTTAAAACTTGTAAACAAGTTAAAATTGGTTTACTAAAGAAACTGTAATATTATTAGTAGTAGAAACGGAGTTTGTATAAACAAATATTAATTTGACTACCAGATTTTACTTGCAATAATTTTTATTGACCATTTTGAATGGTCCCATGTTTTTGTATTATCCATTTTCCAATATTATTTCGAAATGCGTGATGGCGTTTTAAAAGTATGCGTTTTGTGATCTCATATTTTTTAATAAATCAATTTATATACTTACGTGCAGTCGGTCGTGCAACAGTAGTTTTTACTCCGCCACCACTACTATCGTCTTTCTCAGCGACCGCGGACAACTTCGTCGTCGACATTACCCTCGACATATTTTTATCGTTGGCTTCATCTCCTTTCTCGATATCCGACGGCGTGATAGTAGGCGCTGGTGCATGCTGGCTCCTATCCCTTCGAAACTTCGAAAATATCTTCCTAACTAAATGATCTTGATTTTGGTCTAGCTGCGGTTCGTTTTTCCGCCTTTCAGCGAGTTCTTTTTCGCGTTTCACGTCCGCCACTTTCCGAAATATCAAGCGATGCCTTAAATTGTAGGTGAGGATTAGATTACGGGCGAAACTGTTGGCGAAGGCTTGGTAAAAATCTAACACTTCTAGTAGTTTGTCTCGTTTTATCGTATGTAGATCACAGTAAGTTAAAGCGCGCACGTTCGCAGCGGATTGTCCCACTGCGTTGTCTTTCCAGAAGGAATCGCCGAACACGTCACCTTTACCTAAAACACAAAAAAATATTATTAGTGGATGTGTTTGTGACTGTATTGTTTTTTTTTTGTACTTTTCTTTTAACGTGAAAATGAATCAAAATGTAAATTGAATTTCTGTATATTTTAATATATATGACATTACATTGCTTAACTGACAAAAAATTACCTATATCTATGGTAACATGAAATTGAAAGGGCAGAGTAGGCTCCAACATGCCCCCCGCCTTGAAAGAATTTCAATGAAGTTGAATAAAAACAAAATAACACTGAGTCTGTAAAATGTACAATTACAATGTTTGGATAGGTAAAGGACATATATTAGCAACAGCACGACATACTTCTCCATTAGCGGTTTTTAATGTTACTGCACGTACAACACCATCTTGTCCAGGGTGTAAAGCTATCACTCTTCCCAATTTCCAATGTAATGGAGGCGGTCGAGAATTTAAAATTGATTCAACTTGTACTAATAAGGTCAGAAAGTCCTCATACACAAGAAGAGCATTTTGAATAACTCTTTTGAGGTGAAATTTTAGCGACTTAACGTCGGCCTCCCAAAGGCCACCAAAATGAGGTGAGTAAGCTGGAATGAATGTCCAGTTAATTCCTTCATTTGAGCAAAATGTAGTAAATGAATTGTTATTCTGTTTTAAAAAATTTGAAATTTCATCTATTTCATTCTTAGCACCAATAAAATTGGTTCCATTATCGGACATTAGTCTAGCAGGCTTACCTCTTCTAGCTATGAAACGTCTAAAGCATGCTATAAATGAATGTTTTGTGAGATCAGTAACAATCTCCAAATGAATAGCTTTAGTAGTGAGGCAAACAAATAAACATACCCAAGCCTTTAATTTTTTGCAACCCCGACCAAGTCTGTCTTTGAGGATAAATGGACCTGCGTAATCAACACCGGTTGCATAAAACGGAAAAGTTGACGTGACTCTTTCCTTAGGCAGATCACCCATGAACGGAGGATTACATTTTGGATTAACACGAAAACATATTACACAATTATGTACAGTTTTGCGTGCCACATTGCGACCGCAGATAGTCCAAAATCTTTCTCTTACGGCGGCAAGAAGATGTGAAGGGCCGGTGTGAAATAATTTATTATGCATATCCTGGAAAACTAAACTAGTAAAATGATCCTTTTGAGGTAATAAAATTGGATGCTTTTGGTAAAAGTCTAACTGTGAAAATTTTAATCTACCCCCAACTCTAAGAATTCCTTTATCTAAGAATGGAGATAAAGTATGAATTTTACTTTTTCTTGAAACTTGTTTTTCTTTTTGTAACTGAGCAATTTCTGATGCGAAATGTTTTTGCTGAACCAATTTTACTAAAAGGTTGAGTCCAGAGTCGAACTCAGATGGTGATAAAGGACCTGATATCTTAGAGTTTCTAGAAATACAGTTATTAATAAATCGAAGGCAGTATGCTGCAACGCGTTTCAATTTATTTAGACTTGAGTAATTCTCAATTTTAAAAATAGGAGAATTTGAAATGACAGTGTAAGATTGCATTGTATCTTTTAAATCAGGTAGAACATCCGAGGGAGTTGATAATGACAGAGGCCAGTCGTGTTGAGGAAGAGATAACCATTGAGGACCATGCCACCAAAGTTGTGAGGTTAATAACGAATTTGGATTTGTTCCCCTAGATAAAAGATCAGCAGGATTATCTCTGGTACCAACATGATGCCAGGATTGAATATTTGTCTTGGATTGAATTTCCGAAACTCTGTTAGCTACAAAGGTTTTCAAGAGATTTGGAGGAGTATTAATCCAACCAATAACTATTGTAGAGTCAGTCCAGTGAAAAATGTCATTAAATGATGAACGAAAGGATGTTTGAACCTTATGTGAAAGTCGTGCAGCTATTAAAGAACCACATAGTTCTAATCTTGGTAAAGTAACTACCTTCAAAGGAGCTACCTTTGTTTTTGCACTTAAAAGGTGTACATACACTGTGCCTAATACATCAACACTTCTAATAAAAGCACATGCGCCGTACGCTCTTTCACTGGAATCTGAAAAAACATGAAGTTGCATGTGAATAGGAGATTGACATTTAACATGTCTAGGTATGTCGAAATTATTAAGATACTTAAGCTCATTTTGAAATCTAAGCCATCTTGTATGAATATCTGCAGGAACTGATTCATCCCATGAAAGTTTTTCTAGCCAAAGTTTTTGAAGAAACATTTTAGCTACAATAGTGCAAGGACTTAATAATCCAAGTGGATCAAATATTTGTGCAATGATTGATAAAATGATACGTTTGGTAACTTTTGTTGAAGTTAATGAATTATTAATATTGTACATTAGATGATCTGATTGAGAACACCAGAAAAGACCAAGGGTTTTTGTCTTTTCATTAGACCCTAATTGCAAAATATTTAAATCTAATGAAGAATCCTGAACGTGGATTAAAACCTTTGGATCATTTGAAATCCATTTGCGAAGATCAAAACAACCTTGTTTTAGTATGTCTGAAACTTGTTTACAATATAATGATAATTCATCAATTGAATCTGAGCCAGTAAGTAAATCATCCACATAGAAATCGTTTTGAATAATTGTCGATGCCATTGGATATGAAACTTCATTTTTACTGGCCAACTGAAATGGTGGCCTTATTGCTAAAAAGGGTGCAGCTGATGTACCGTATGTTACAGTATTTAACTGATAAACTGCAAGCGATCGAGTTGGATCAGAACGCCAAAATATTTGCTGAAGACATCGTTGAGAGGGATTTACTAAGATTTGGCGATACATTTTACAAATATCAGCACTTACTACATACCTATGTTCTCTAAATCTAATAAGAATTTGAAAAAGGTCATTTTGAATAGTAGGGCCGACCATTTGAAGATCATTAATGGCACACCCTGTAGAAGAAGGAAATGACCCATCAAAGACTACTCTCAACTTTGTACTTAAAGATTCTTCTTTTAATACACCATGGTGGGGTAAAAAGAACTGAATATGTTCTGATGATGATTCGGTAACCTTAGACATATGACCTAATGATTCATATTCGATCATAAATTTGACATAAGGTTCCCTTAGAGCGCTATTACGTTGTAATTTACGCTCTAAATTATAGAAACGTTTGAGAGCTTGCTCGCGGGAATCTCCAAGTTTTGTTAGTGAACTTTTCAAAGGAATGTTAACAATGAAACGGCCATTTAAGTCACGTTTATGAGTTGAAACGAAAATTTGTTCACAATCCCTTTCTTCTGCTGAATATGATCTATCCTCGGAACACTCCTCAATTTCCCAAAAACGGGATAGTTGATTTTGAATATCAGTATATCGCCCCCCGCCTTGAAATGACATTTCAATGTTTTTTGAAAGGTTGCAATACATATGAGATTTCTTTTCCATAGTTTTATTTGCTATAGAGTTATTGTATAGGGACCCTGAAATTATCCAACCGAATTTGGTTTTATGAAGGATAGGTAAATTGGGACCCAACTGTATTTGGCAAATGGAAAGTATAGACCAAAATAACTCGGCTCCTATAAGAAGATTGATGGGCTTTGGAGAATAAAATTCTGGATCTGCTAATTGTATATTTAAAGGGATGGATACTAAAGATGTATTTAGCTTCTGATTGGGCAAATAATCACATATGAATGGCATAATGAGACATGAAAGTGACGTTGAAAATGCGTTATGTTTGGAAAATATTTGAATTTGACATTGAGTCTTGATTTTATATTCTACCTTTGTGATACCAGAAACCGTAATGTTGATATCTTGTGTTTTAATTCCCAAAGCAGTAGAAAAATTTGCACATATGAAATTCGATTGACTTCCTGAATCGAGAAGTGCACGACAATCATGGCGATTTCCTTTGTTGTCCATAACTTCGCAAACAATTGTGGATAATAAGACTTGCTTTGAATTTGAATTAACACTGCATAATGTTACATTATCTGTATTTTGAGTAGGACTATGCAACAAAGTATTGTGTTTAGCGGAACAAGTTTTACAACCACCGAAATTGCATTGATCAAGTTGATGACCTGAATTCAGACAGTTTATGCATAGTTTTGAAATTTTCACTAATTCTGTTCGCTCGGGTATGCTCATTTTTAAAAATTTGTTACAATTAAATAACCTATGATTATTTGAATGGCATGCCTGACAAACGCGAACTGAAGAATGGAAAGCCTTTTGAGACTTGTTTTTAGATACTGATGTTGAAAAGGAAGAATGTTTGGAAGAATGACTCTGATTTGTTTCCAACTGTTTATCTTCAATTTTTTTTTAACATTTGGGATTTTTGTTTCAAAAAAAAACAATAAATCTTCTAAGGTTGGTTTATCAGAAAATGATTTGTTCTCCCATTCTCTCGTTGTAGTTGGGTCTAACTTTGCAGTAATGTAATAAATTAATAATGTATCCCAATACTCAGTTGGCTCACCAAGAACCTTTAGTGAACGTAAGTGCATTTTAACATGATCAACAATATGTTTAAGTGCTTTAGAAGATTCTTTCTTGATTGAATCAATGTTATATAAAGCTTTGGCATGTTCATGCAATAATGCCCTTTTATCAGTGTATTGATCACATAATAAATCCCAAGCTATAACAAAATTATCATTTGTAAGTTGAATATTTGCGATAGTCTCAAAAGCTTCACCACTTAGTGCAGATTTTAAATAGTGAAATCTTTGAATATTTGAAATGTTTGAATTATCAATAATTAATGCCTTGAAGCTATCTTGAAATTGAAGCCAATCGCATGGTTCCCCTGAAAATGTGGGAAGATTTATCAATGGCAATTTGATACCTGAGAAATCGTTTTGAACATTATTATTGATGGTTGGTTGACTATGGTTTGAAACTGAATTATTTTCAAAACTAGACTCAGTA